ATATCTATTTATTTATGTGCAGGTGTTCATGCAAATACATATATATCAGAGAAGCAGGTAGATAAATAGAAATGGCATATGATAGATAGCTTTCTTGTGGTGTTATATGACATGGGACATGATCCTGTGTGTGCCAGCAGATTCCTATGGCAAATTTAATCTCTCACAATATGCCATAATTCATGCATTACTAAAATGTTAACACATTAATTCAAGGTTAATAAATAAATGACCAGTGTAAACATTAATTAGTATATTGTAACCAAATCTACTAAAATAGTTGCCATTGAGGAGAAAAGGGGCCTGTTACACTCTATAACTGGTTTAATTGTAAATCCCCAAATGAATATGTTTGTGTAGACCTCCCTGAAGTTAAATAAAAAAGGCAGGTACCTCCAAATGCTAGGCTTAGATACCAGTTTTAACAAAGGAGTATGCTGAGATGCCCATCTCATTTTGTTTACTGCTGAGGAAGCCTTGGCACCTTGAAGAAATTTTTGACAGCCACAGTTGGGTGAGAAGATTCCCAGGTACTCTCAAGTGATCCCCCTAAGTAAAGGGAAATCTTCATCCGCTTTCCAAGTCCCACACATCTAATCCATATGGAATACTCTGCTTCTAGAACTGAAAAGGCCCATTTCTTTGTCTTTTTCAGTATTCTAAGATTTTGTCTTCATGCTTCCTGGCAGCAGGCTCTGCAGGTTGATAGTGGATTATGAGAGTCCCACAGATGTGAAACGAGTGGATAGCAATTTGGGGTGCTGGCAAGTTGCCTGTCAACATGATCCTCTGCTTGCTTCTAGTACAAGTGTGAAAAAATTAATATTATTTGGTTAGCCATCATCTATAACATGTCATGCATTGGCACTAAGCCACATTCCAGTGCTCCTAAATCCCAGCAGTGTAACATGGCTGGTTATGACAAAGCTAAGGGCCATACAGGTACTGTTCTCACTTGGAAAATCAGAAGCCTGTGGAGTTGTTGCAGATTAAACTGATTAAAATGATAATTAGGACTAGATATGACCTATCAAGACCAGCAGCAAGCTGGGATAAGTCAGAAAACAGATGTCTCCAAGTCCTTTGCCTGCTTGGTTTTTTTTCAGCACTAACAGTTTAGGTAAAAAAAGCCTGAAATAGGCAGGAACTTTTTTCTTCTTTGCAACTGTAGTTCCTTTAATGTCATCCTTTCTGCATTGTCTCTGCAAGGAAGCTTTCAGGTTTTCTTTTGTGAAAAACAATCGACTTTGCACTTAAAATTGCTGGAATACAGCCAGTGATGCAACTGAGGCCAGGCCCTTGTTTCTCCTCTCCACTAATTTTGCCAAAAATCTTTCTGAATGCAGGTGCTACAGAAGGTCAGGGAAATGTGTCCTCTGCCCCTCACTTTCTTGCCCGGCCTAGCAAGGCTGTGTGATGTGTCCTTTGCATCTGTCCTTTACATCACAGTCCCAGCTATGATGAGGGAGAAGCTCTCCAAGCAAAATTTAAAATTATATATTTAAAATATTTAAAAATATTTTTCATTTTCAAAATGGAATATTTCTCCTAATTTAAATCAGTAACTTGCAATGGGAAATGTACATGATCCAATGTGAGATGCCCAGACTAAGTGGCTGCAGAGTGGAAAAGGAAGACTTTTGCTTGTGCTTTTCAGAATAGAAACAAATATACCTCTTTGCAATCACAGCAAGTGATTGCAGGTGTAATGAATTTTAATGTATTTTAGGCTTTGTTTTGTTTAGTTTTTTTCTTCATTTTAGTAGGATAATTTCAACAGCTCTCTTAGGAGACAAATGTCCAGATCACCTGGACATCACAAATGGCTCTCAGGGCAAGTCATTTATTTTGACCATGTCAGTCACGAACTCAGAGACTACAACTTGTTACACAATCAGTTAGTGAACAGCCCCACTGATACAGAAACTAAAAATCAATATGTCTTGCTGTATGTGAACAAGAGCAGTGCATTTAATCCGTATATGGGGGATAAACCCAGCATTTGTAATTAAATTTCCCATCAAGTTCAGTATTGTATGCTTAATATCGTAATGGAAAATGACTATAGATTTGGGTTTTGTTCAAGTTGTTTCATGATTCCTGAATTACTAATGTTGGGCTAAATCTTCAGCTAGAGTAAACTGGCACAATTTGTGAAAATTGGCATTCCAATGTACACCTGCTGAGAATCCCTGTTGTTATATAAACAGGATCTGTCTGCCTCAAAGCCATGTAAAGATAACATATGAAAAATAATAATTAAAATTATCCTTTTCTGGAGAAGACTTTGCCCCATATAGCCACAGTGTGACAGCACAGGAGACCCTGTTCTTCACCCATGTGCTGAAGTCAGTGTTGGCACAGCCCAACCTGGGCACAGGGACACTGATTTTCTACCTGTTCATCATGTTCTCAGCCTTTCTACCTCCTCTCTCGACTTCTTACTCATTTCCTCCTATCCTGTCATCAATCACTTGCTGTTGGAAGGGCTGTTTTTTAAAAGCCTCAGGCTGGATCTTGAGCCAGCAACATCAGCGAAATCACAGTGCTTTAAAATGGCATTAATGAAGTTCTGAGCTAGCTGTGTTCAGGACAACAAAATAGCATTTAAATCACAATACCGAGTGATTCTGAAACCAGTATAGAATTCTGGTAGACAGGGATTTAAAAAATGCAATCATGAGAATGCTTTAGGAGCATTTTCATTACCCACTCATAGCTGAGCCATTAATTAACTGTATGGTCAGTCTCATCTGCTGAGTGAAAACTCAAGGGCCACCACGTTCCCCTGAAGGCTGCCAGCAGAAACTGGAGAAGACCTTCATCAGCACAGCTTCCTTCCACTCACACTTTTATAAAAACAATGGAGCAGAGTGGTGGAAACTGTGTTTCAGTACCTTCTCATGCACCACACGAAATGATGATGGCATACAGTTAAGATCTGAGGTAATACTTTCAAAAGCACTCAAATTACTTGGGGACCTCATTTATATCTTCAATCATGACCTAATTAATGAGGTCACTAAACCACAGGTGGTTCACACAGGGCAGCTCTCTGAACTGTCTTTCTGAATTTTGGAAGATTGTCCCTTAAAGGGAACAATAAATGAGGAGGCTAGAGGTGATCATTTAAGAGCACAGGGTGGAGGTAGGAGAAATCTGGTTATACATACCAACACAAACCTTTAGAGAATTGCTGAGCTCTTGTGAAACTGCCTTGTTTCTATAGTCCTCTGTAATATCATGAAGAGTTTTTCTGGTTCTAGACTCTCATATTCTGACCAGTGAATCTCAAATAGTAACAGCACTGTTATCAGTCAAGCCTCAGGTGCTGTATTTCTTTCAAGAGATGAGGATAGTCTTATTCTCATTCAGGATAGTAGGAAACGCTGTAATTTGAACTGGAGCTGCAAAAAAAGCTCAGGGTTTGTTCGTTTTAAATTCACACAGTGAAAAGAAGTATTAGCTATAGATGCTTAAGAACATTGTTCAGAACTTGTTGGTAGCTGTCAGGTTTACAAAAACAGTGCATGGTGTCCTGGTTATTCCACTAATGATCATTTGCTAGCAGAAAAAAATCAAATACTTAGAGCTCCATTAATTCGGTAGAAAGGGTCTTATTGACTTCATTTGATCAAGAGTGTTCCTGAGTAAGGAAATGGATTTTATAGATGATGAATGGCTAACTAACACTTTGAGGAATCAGACTGGCTGTAGTTTATAACCCAAGACCAGATGCTGCTGCAATGCAGAATTTGAGAAGCATGGTAATGCCTGCTTGTCTGCATGATGTGCCTGGTTCTACCAAACGTGGGTAGTGCAGGCACATGATGGACCCAGGGCTTCCTAAGAGCACTGGTACTGCCTACTCACTCAGCTGTGCCTGGAAAAAGTGTGTCAAGAAACAGGCTGGGGTCAGAGGAATGCTCATGTCAGGCTGTATATAGTCCTAGAATGACAGGTTGAGCCCCATCATGTTCCCTATCCTTTGCTAATGCTCTCTTGTCTGTGTGACCTATTGTTTGTTTCCACTGGCAATGTCTTCCTTCCTCCCCCCTGCATTCATGAGTGCCCTCTGTTTCTGCATAGACCTTGCCACCCTCCTTGCCTTTCTTTTCTACTCTTTTCCCCCCACTCCTTTTTCTGTCACTTGCCACACACCACACTTGCTCCTTCAGCACTTCCAGACGTTTCTCTGGTGAAGCCCTGCCTGTCCCTCTGCCACGAGCAGCTCCCCTTTAACTGTTTTATGACTGAAAGTACCTGTGGCTGGTAACCAGAGAAAGTAAGTTAAAGGCATCCTTAGTTTGCTACCTAGCTTTTATCTCGCTTTGCAACCACAGCAGGTTTGTGAAGAGTGTATTCTAAGAAAATTGAGTTATTTTAATGGTGTGATTCCCTGCCTGTGACATTAAAAAAACATATTGTCTGCCCCAATAATGCAAAAGTTCAGGCTTGGGTGGAGCATTTGATAGCAGCAATGTGGGAGATCTATGGTTCACTTATCAACTTTCTTAGTAGAAGTTGATGTCTGCTCCACTTGCTGGTAAGTGCTATCAGGTCTAATAAGTCTAAGCACTTTGAAAGAGAAAATAGAGACCATTTTTGAAACTGTGACTGCTGGCGAGCAGAGCGGTGGGGGGCGGGAGGAGGGGAAGTAGGTAGAGCAGCAGGATCGAGGGCAAAGTGATGAGGATTAGGACACCAGTTCTGGGTGAGTGCAGAACAGCCCAAGGGATGGTCCCTGAGGCCATGACACAGCATGAAAGAGCAGGAGGACTAAAGAAGGAGAGAAAATAGTAAGAAAAAATATATGTAGGCAACTGTAAAGAAAGCTACATAAACTGTATGACAAATCAGTCAAATTTAATCATCTATATCTGACTAGCTCTCTGCACAGTTAGCTGTGCAGCATTCTCTTTTATATTGTTCACACACAAGCACATAAATAAATATTATTACATGCTGCCTGGCACAGAAGGGGTATTTTAAATATCTTTATTCTCCCCCACTTCACCATCTTCCACATTTTTGCTTCTTTTCAGCATCAGGCAGTTTCCCAAAGGAAGCTGTGAGGAGGCAGGAAAGTAACGGTACCAGCCATATGGAAGATAAGGGAATGCAGGAAGAATAAGAAGCTGTCAACACCTCAGCCTAGCATGCAGCCTAAAATTCCTGTCTGATAAATTCTGATAAATTTTGCCTAGGGATTTCATTTTGCTGGAAAGATATCAGGAAATGTCAGCGTGAAGACATTTAATCTGAAATTTGTCTTCCTATTTTGGAGACTCCTGTGAAAATTGTTAATTTATAGCAGTATTGTTTGTGTCAGTAGTGGATCCCTGAGCCTGGAGCGTGCATTAAATTACTGCTTGGAGGTTTACCGATTTTCACCCTTTTCCTCTACTGTCACTGAAAAGTATTTTGGGTAGTACCACACAATAAGAAAAAAGTCTGAACTGGTGAGCAGGCTCCTGAAGGTATCAAACTGCTTGTTCACAAGAGCAAGCTTGGAAGAGGCTCTATTTCAGAAGGTGCAGGTTTCTGAAAACTGGTGACAGATCTCACCACAGAGGCTTGTTTAGGAGTTCCCTTTGGGGTGCTTAAACAAATGCAAATATTTTTGCTTTGACAGTAATTGCATACACCTCGATTTCAGCTGCAGGTACCAGCAGTGCTGTGCTACTGGCAAAGCTGTTTTGTTGCAGGTAAAACCCCAGCAGATGCACCAATTACTTTACATACTGTTTACCCGCTTTTGGTGACATTGAGGCTAACCTTGGAGTCACCTCCCCCGCTGCCACATTCTCCTTTGTCGTACCACCATTTGTTTTTCAATTTGTCCAAGAGGCCTTGTTCATTCAGTTTTAAAACTGCGAGGTTAACAGCATTTCTTGAAACGATAAAACATATTTTGTAAGAAACTGCACAGCTGTTAAGATGTTAGAAGGAATGAGGACTTAAGCTGTTTATAAGCTTGATCCACACACTAAATAAACCTCTCATTTCCATATTTCAAAGCCCTTGGCAGCACAAATAATTCTGGTTACTTTCAAATGTGAAAAATGTGTTTCCAGTGCAGACATGATTTTCAGAACAGCTTGGATTTTAACATGGTAATTCTATCAACCAACCAAAACTATATTTGCAAAATGATGATAAACCTCTGACTGGAATTATAACTGATCTACCCAAATTTATTTGAATCTATATTTGAAGTATGTTCAGTGTAGGCCCAGGCTGGTTTTTCAAGCAGATGGAAAAATTTATTCCCATGTACTAGAGAAGCAAGATCCAGATGGCCTGTGCTAGACGCTGCTGCTTACTGTCACATACAGTTTTGACATGGAGCACTTGAGAATGATCCTGCAAAAGCTATGGGCAAGGGCTCCAGAAACAGGCAGTGTGAGGGAGAGCTGAAGAGAAGTGCTAACAGCTCACATGCTAGGATGCTGTCTAGAGCCAGACAATAGAAAGCACCAGACAAAGGAGCTGAAAGTCCTGCCTGTTTGAAGCACCAACACCTGCTACAGGCACCTCTGTACATTTGGGATGCAGACCCTAGAGTCCTTTGCACAGTAGAGGCTTAGCTGAAATGGAAGACCTGGGGTCTAGCTTAGTGCCATGAATCTGGGGACTGCACTGCTGTTCTGGGAGAGCACCCTGTCTCCCAGCCCAAAGGGCATCTATGGTGTGGAGAAGGAAGGTGGCATTGGAGGGCACCCTCCCTGGGGAAACCTGAGCCAGGCAGAAACTCAGTCACTGGGAAGAGCAAAGCCAGCCAATTAGCTGTGTGCTGAGATACAAGAAGGTAGTTTAGACGTCCTGAGGACTTTTCCCTGGACAATTTATACATGTTATGCTACCACTGGATGAAAGCCAAGTCCTGCTTTGCTAGCAGCACAGTGGCATAGGCACAACAGACTGAAAGGGGCTCTGTGAGCCTGGTGTCTTCTGTTTCATGTTTAAATGCTGTTTTTCCAGGTGAGAGAAATACCTGAGAGAGGCTTTGAATCTGTGTAGGCAGGGAAGGGTTGCCAACATAAAGGCTAAAGCACAGAATCACTGCTTCTGTATGAACTCAAGGCTGCTGGGAGTGCACTGAAACTCTGCCAAGAACTAGGACACACCTGGTACTAGGATGCAGTTGCTTCTGTGCATGCTCAGAGGTTTTCCTTTAGGTGTCCAGAGAGCATTAGGACTGGATGGCAGAGGGTAGACAGTACAGAGCACCATATAAACCCAAATGCAAGATATCTGGATTTATGATGGGAACTATACTCACTATATGACGTTTTAAAATCAGCTGATAAATAATCTGCCAAGGTATTTATGCAGCCTTCATCACCTCCCAAGGAGACTTTGCACTTGTTTAAATGTGCTACTTCCTATCTGTATTATGAAGACCCTTGGCAGTCACATATCCTAATGGTACACAACAACATATTTATTCATAACTCATAATAATAAAGTTTTATCTTCCTACTTTTATGTCCAGAT